GGCTTAGGGTTCGGGATGTAGGATTCCGTCGGGGGGGCGGGGTGCGCATAGGATTGTGTCCAGAGTTTAGCGTTTCAGACGTTTCACAGGTTTGGGGCTTCGGGGTGCAGGATCCAGGTTGGAGGCTTTTGGTGCTTCAGGGTTTGTTGTTTACTGATTAAATACGGTTTGAGGGTTTAGGAGTCAACGTTTCATTGCTTGCGGTACTGGGGGAAGGTCTGAGTTTGGCTGGTATATTTGACGAATATGTAGAGGTCTGTACAGTTTAGGGGCTTGGGATTCACCCGCCAAGCGCATGAGGGCCCTACATGTGTTCTAGCAGGTACATTGGGGTTTGGCAAAAAGCAACTTAGACGTCCAGCTTACAAAGCTTCTCTGCTGACTTGAGACAATCCTACAAGGACCAGTCACAGTTCAGGTACGGGTAACTTTCATCTGGGCATCTAGTTCTAGGAAGGCTCGTCATTAGTAGGATTTTCTCATGCTTTTGGATTTTGTGGAGCTGCTTGCAAGGTGAGCTAGCCACTTTTTTATGCACGTAGGAGTTTGGAAGATCCCTAGGTTCTTCTGCACCCGGAACCGCAAACCCCAAGTTTCTTCAGCTGCGGGCTATAGGGTAAGGACTAGAGTTTGGGTACTGCCCCCCNNAGGGCTATATATACCCATATTATGAGTATTATCCAACTGTTACTAAGGGGGGGGGGCGGCAGTACCCAGACTATAGTATATGTGAAGTTATTTAGGGGTACCTTGCTCCTGGAAAATGCCAGATTAATAAGACAACTTTTCTACCTTAGACCCCACAGACGTTCGAGGATTTCATATAAGGATGAAAACCAGAGGGTCGAGGGTAGATCTATAGTCTATCCCTAAGGCCCAAACAGACACATGTAGGTGAGATTTATACACATTGGGGACCATGTAGGTACTATTTGTAGACATAGAACACTGCATGCTAAACCTGACGGCTGTCGGGGAAGAAGGTAGATCTATATTCTACATCCCTAAACCTTAAACCCTTATATGACATCCTATGCCTGAAGGCTTTGGGGGTTTAGGGTTTAGGGTTTAAGCTTACCCTAGACCCTAAAGCCTAAACCCTAAAACCCTTAACCCTTAACCCTGATACCTAAACCCTTAACCCTAAACCCTGAACCCTTAGCCCTTAACCCTAAACCCTTAACCCTAAACCCTAAACCTGACAGGACGATGCCCAGAAAGATCTGGACGAGGCACTTCCGGCCTTGGACACAGCGGCACAGGGCCAAGCATGGTATACTTGGAGGTTTAGGGTCTAGGGGTTAAAGTTTAAGGTGTAGTGTACTGGGTAGGCCCCTGGGATATTTATTATTTTCCCCAATGGCTTTCATGAGGGACCCTGTATACTAATATTGTTCAAAGGGTTTTAGGGGCCAACCCAGTGTAATTATAGCAATGATAGGGTGTTTGGGATTTTAGGGTTTCAGGGTTTAGGGTTTTAGGTTTACGGGTGTTTAGGGGTCTATGATTTAGGGGCTTAGGGTTTAAGGTTTAGGGCTTAGGGTTTTAGGGTTTAGGGAAATTATTGCCCAATAATGGAGAAGCGGTTGGAACATGGAATAGAAAGGGGGAATTTATAGGGATAGAGGGATTAGGGGTTAAGTGATTATAAACCAATGATAAATAAATCGTTCTTAGAACCCAGTTGTAAGCCCACACTGTATTTCTAAAGTACCGATATATAGACATTTTATGGGATGCTCAAGCATTGAGGAGCCAGGATGGGATTAAGTGTTGAGAGGTTTTGTAGGGATAAAGTGGATTTAGGATTCCCATAGTGGACAGTCAAAGAGAAACATCAAACGGACATGAAATGGAGACTGGGGATTTAGCGGCATGCACAAGCTTTAGAGTTTAGGGTGCAGGGTTCCATACAGGGAAACCACAGCCTTGACTTGTAACTATCAGACACCTGCTTTGCTAAGTTGTAGGGTTTCGGGTTGAGGGTTCAGGGTTTACAGGGGTCTAGGGCTTTGCAAGAATCATTTCCTAAACCCTAACCTCTGAACCCTAAACCCTAAACCCCTAAACACTAATTTTCTGAGGTGGCCTGCCTCAAAAAGCTGAAGGCCGACCACATCCGTGAGGCCTCAAGGGGTTCCCTAAGGGTCCAAGGACGCAAATAATAGGGTCCCTTAAAAGGGGGTTTTTGGGGGATTTTGGGTTCAGGGTTCAGGGTTTAGGGTAGGGGTCCAAGGACCCAAATAAGAGGGTTTTAGGGCCAAAATACCATTCATGTTATAGTATTTGGGCCCTAAAACCCTATTTTTTGGGTCCTTGAACCCTTAGGTTTTTCGGCACCCTGCAGAGAAATTGAGGGTCAATAGGAACCTGGGGAATTTGGGGTAGTGGAAAAGAAAATGGAAGCTACCATAGTTTGGGTACTTCCGCCCAGGAACAGTCTATATTAGGGTCCTATTAAGGGCTATATATATAACCATATTATGGTTATCGTCCAACTGCTACTGAGTGGGGGCAGTACCGAAAAGCTACTATAGTATAGTGGGGTTATATAGGGATAATGGCAAATAGAATGGAAGCTACTATTTAGGGTTGGCAGTGCTAAAATCAAAGCATCACTTTTGATCGCTTTGTTGAGCGTTGGTATAGCTTTCTGTTCTCTATAGGATGGCAGAACACAATGTCTCCCGTGCCAGCTTTCAGCACGCACGTTGGCTTCGAGAATTTTCATTCAATGGAGTCAATGCTGGCTAGGCTACAGCATACAGAATTGGAGCAGATGAAGTTACCTGGTTCAACCAACGAAGAAACACCACCCGCTTGCGCTCATGTCGCCGGCCTTGCCTCCGCAGAGCATCAGGTGAGAATTTCAGCCTTGGAATACGAATATTCTTATCTCAACACGGTTGATGGTTTAGGGTTAAGGCTCGATTTCTAAAATAGAAAAAATGTACGCTCCTCAGTATGGCACAACAGGACCTTGACCTGCGTTGTGTAAGCTCTGGGGCCTCAGCCCTCTAAATCCTGGAGCCCGATTGTTGAACCCTTAACTCTGTAGTCTTCTCTAAATTTCAAACCCTGAATCCTAAACCTGCAACTCTACATCCCCGACCTGAAGCCCAAAGTCTTAACCTCCTAAGCGCTAAACCTCGAACCCTGTAACGCCCTGTACGGCTGCTTCGCAACATCATCTTCCCATAATCCCTAAGAAGGACTCCTGTAATCTCATCGTGAACCCCATCTATCCTTCTAGACTTTACCATAGGAAACCCGAATCCTCCTTACCATCCGCACATATACCCCTAGGGTCCCAGGCGCTACCAAGGGACCCCTCTTCTCAAAGTACACTCTAAACCCTGAACCCTAAACCCTAAACCTTATAAACCCTAAACCCTTAAACCCTAAACCCTAAACCCCTAAACCCCCAACCCTGAAAGTGCCCACCCAGGTAAAGGTGCTTCCGAATCCCCCGGCGGGTGTTCGGCTGGCCACCGAGGCGGTGTGCGTCATGCCAGAGGCTCTGAATCTGCCGTGCAACCTCGAGGGGGTTCGAGGGTTGAGGGTTTAGGGTTGAGGGGGTTTAGGGTTTCGAGGGTTTAGGGTTTAGAAGGTTTAGGGTTGAGGGGGTTTAGCGTTTAGAGGGTTCAGGGCTTAGAAGGTTTTGAGTTGAGAGGGTTTAGGGTTTTCAATATGCATGCTGATACCGTAAGGCTCTTCCCTGGAGCGGCCAGGTACAGAGGTGATCTTGCATGGATCTGCATAGGTCACAGCACGGCCCAGTCTAGTAGTGGGAGAAAAGATATTAGGAACACCTAGCAGCAAATTGTTTCGCAGTGACTCGCCCACTCCCCTTTTCTGCCGCGGTCTTTTGGGGTGGTTGCACATCTAGCCTGCATTACTTTGTAGTTCCTATGTGCAAAGAGTCTTGGAGCCTGCCCTTAACTGAGGTTTCAGCTGAAACCTGTGCGGGCCTCGGCACTTGATGTCTGGGTGGTTCTATTCATGTGTTTAGCGGCTGATCCCTCGCAACGATGGTGTGCTGTGTGACCACCCTCCATATGTGCCTTCTGCGAATATGGGGGGGGGGCTTCTCGACACCGAAACATGAGGCTTGTCTTTCATGAGGATATTGGGGCCATGAAGGGGAAGACCTCATTCTTCGGAAATACCCGTACTCATGTTGATGTCGAGGCTAAACGCTCCGGCCAGTGCCGTGTTATTACTCATCCTAACCGTGGGTATCCAGCTTTTACCAAGGTCAAGAAGAACGACCCCAACACGCCGGGCAAGAAGATCGATGATTACTGGGAGACAAGCCAGAAGGAACCAACAATGTTTTCAGAAAGCAGGGAAGTTTACAGGGCTTTAAGCTTTGAAGTTTCCTGAAGAAGGGCTGCATTAGAGGGGCCGAAATCCTAGACTCGATATAACCCTGTATAATCCCAATGCACCCCTATATACCCTTACATAATCCCTCTGTAATCCCTATATGCCCCTACGTAGAAGCCCATGAAGCATCCTAGCCTCTTTACATTACCCCTTGCTAACATGGAACACCTTTCAAACAGGCGGTCGCAAATGTAGGCTGGGCTGAGTTGCTGTTAAGGAACTTAATTGAAACTACTAGAATAGGGGTAAATCTGGCGTAATATAGGGTTAGGGTTTAGGGTAGGATTTTAGGATTTACTGGTGAACTTAGTTTAAGTTACTGGATTGGGGAAACCCTATTATTTACTGTATATACCCATTATGGTTACTTAACTTTAAGTTCCCTAACAGCAACCCAGTGGGGTAGGGTACCGTGGATGGAGGGTATCTGGCTTCACCATGAGCATGTTAATATGTAAGGGTTTTCCTAGAAGCCATAGATAGCCTTTTGGTAGACTCTGTACCCCCACAAGAACAATTTTTCCTTACAGAGCCAGCGTTTATTGAGAATAAGTATGCACGCTCCCGCACAGACCGTAGGCAGGAAAAAAACCCAGTCATAACCAGGTAATACTCCACAGCCACTTAGAATCATTAGTTGCCATAGACACGTTCGTGTTTCTATACGTACCTAGCTCTTAGATCCAAAGTCCTTGCATTGTCCTGGATCTCATTGTAATTTTCCTTTTTATTTTCCACTTTGATTCTCCCTTATCCCTATAAACCTTATATACCAAACCCCAAAACCCTAAATCCTAATTAGTCCCTATTGAACCCCTGCATCCCCCCCCCCAGCTGATCACTTCGCCTCTTCTTCCGTGACGGCCATGTTCCGCAGGAAATCTTGAATGATCCGAAGGCATTGCTGGACCGCCTGTTCAACTTCGACAAGGACCCTGGGTTTAGGGTTTAGGGTTTGGGTCGTTCTACGGGTGTATAAGCACGTGGTAAGTGTATGAATATATTTCTCCTGCTGAATCTCTGGCAGCCGTGCAACTGTCCAACTGCACGGTCAAGACTTTCCCCCGAAAGAGTCCAAGAAGTATATTTCCCGAAAACCTTTACGGAACTTGTAGTACCAGAACCTGCAGTACCCAACTACTAATTAGGTGTGCTTGGACCATTTGTGTTTGGGAGCTCGTAAGGATGTGGTCCTTCTTTTGGCATCCCTTCATTAATCCCGTGGCCCAAAGTTTGACACATGCCTACCAAAACCTCCCCAACGTACAGAAACATTTGCGCGCGTCCTACGAGGAGCTTGTATAATCTCTTGGGAGAGACTGAGATTTGTGAGAAATTTGCATGTTGGATGTGGAGAGCATGCAAGGACAACATCCCGGATCGTGTGATCCAGGCTTTGTGGCTCAGAGTTTGGGCTTCGGGGTTTAGGGTTTAGGGTTTAGGGTTTAGGGTTTAGGGTGGGGATGTAGGGCTAAGGTGCAGGTTGTTAGGGTGAAAGTCCAGGGATTCACGGTGGCGGGCATTCGGGCTGGAACCCTGGCCTTCGCTTTCGACTGCTTGTTTGGGTTCCCCATATACTCCTCATATCTCCTAATACATGTCACGAATCCAAGTAGGGGACCATCCTTTCTGGGACTCAGTCTGGAAAAACCGGTAGGCACCTACACTAGGTGCCCATGGTATGACCTTGGATTGAGGATTGTTTGTTTAGGGGTTTCCCATGATTCCGGGTGCCGTATTGAAGGTTCCTAAATAAGGACTTTGATCGATTGGGGTCCACAATGGGGTTCGTGTTCTTGTGGGAATCGGAATCTGCAGTAATTACCGTTTTGGGGGAAGAATTTTTGCGCAGAAAGCACTATACCCCAAACCTAGCGGGACCTGCCTTATTGTGCTTCATTTGGCATAGGGCTTAGGCCCCGGCAATGTCAAACTGAAATTTGGTGAATGTTGCCACCAGAAGCTTCCTAGTACCCTCAGTTGTTTAGGGTTTAGGTTTAGGCAGGCCTAAATAGAGGGTATGCTGGAGGATCTAGGCAGATGCATGACATGATGGTTCAAGTGCAAGACATCTTCGCGTGTTCAAGATGTCAGATATCAGCGGCCATATGAGCTGTAGTCTAAACTCCTCAGAAGGGGGGGGTGATACAGGGTTCAGGGTTTAGGGTCTCAATTCATTAAAGGGATCATCGAGGGGGTTGTGGGGGGATTACACAGAGAAGCACTACAGGGGTTATCAAGGGGGATACTAGCAGTTTTGACTATAGCTCATATGTATACA